TTGTAATGTTAACAAGTATAACAATGTAACTTATCAACTCTTGACATAATCTAATATTTTGATCAACAAGTTTCATGAACCTTTACTTAATTGTGATTGATTAATTTTTTTCCTCGTTCTATCTCATCTGATTATATCAATTAATCGTATAGCCAATGGAGTTGTGTATTGATTTGTGACTTTTTATAAAAATTATTCAATTGACTTCAATTAATGGTTACATTTGAATTCTCAGCGGTAAAATATCCCCAATGTCCATTAACTTTTAGTTTATTATTACAAATGATTAGAATTGTAATTAATCAATTTAACTTTTGTGAGTGTGAGATAATGTTAACTAATTACAATTTTTACCGTAATTATCTTCATGAAGATGGAGAAGATAAATTCTGATTATAATGATGGTACAAAGTGTCAACATGCAAACAAAATTAATACTTTCTGATAGTGTTGATTGTGGCCTAGCAAGGGAGAGAGAGAGAAACGCAAAATCAAATTCAATTATTAAATAAAAAAGTGATTGATTTAATTGCTTTAAATCACTGAATTACCAATTCATTTGGATAGTATTTTAAAATGATAATCATTCAGTTGGAAGCAAAAAAGTAATTTAGCTAATTAGTTGCTATTAGTAACTAAATCAATCTACAAATTAACCCAAAAGATTTTGTGTTAGGATCAAGTTAATCAACAATAATTTAAAGTTTACAATTTGCAACTGAAAATCATTTAATTAAGTCAATTATAAATAATAATAAAGTTAATTATTGAATATTAACCAAAATTTCATCAATGATTCAATTCATTAATGGTTTAAGTTAAGGAAAAAAGGGGGAAAAATTAACTAATCATTTCGAGTTAGCGTTTACAATTTAGTAACGGTCTGATTATCTGATTAATTAACTGATTTCCTTATTGATTTGTTTCCGATCATCATAATCATCATCGTAAACTGATTGTAATTAACCTGCTAGAAAACGACTTGTTAACTAATTGTTTCGTTTACTTAATTTTAATAAATTTCAATCATATTGCTAATCGTTGAATTACTTTGAGATTAATTTAACTTTCTCATTAACAATATCCCGTAGTGAAAAGTTAATTTAAAAAGACGAAGAAAAAAAAACTTTCGTTGATTAACATTTAAAACTTTAATCATTATGATCTTAGGATTTGAAGGTGGAAAAGGTTATCTTAATTTTCATGTTAATCAACAAATTATTCATGATTAAAGTTATACCTTAATCAACATCAATTTTTCAATCTATTTCCAGGTCTAGACTTTTTTTACCTTCTACCTGGATAATCAAAGTTAATTGTTTATTAATCATCGATATCGATTACAACCTTTACTTTTATTAGATTTGGGTTTGAGGTTCACCTTGATTAATTGTTATTTCGCTGACGATTTTAAATTGATAATCAATAAGCTAGAACGAAAAATATCATTTCTAATTCTTGATTATCTTCAATATTGATTGAGTTTAATTTCAAGCAATTAACTTTTGTATGTTGAAAGGGTTAAACAATTAATTAATTGAGAGATTGAGAGAAAGTTTTTAAGTTAAACAATTAAGATAATCAGATAATTATCATGCATATCAGATGTCATGATTTAGTGATGATAACAATTAGCCCTAATTATAATCAATCAAAGATCAGAGCTTAACCATTAACATTGAAAAGTTAATTGTTAATTATGAGCTATTTAATTTCCACAAACATGATTCTCAGGTTTTAACTTAAATATGTTTTTTTACCTGTTATTTTATTATTTTAATTGTGAACAATTAAGTAATCATTGTAATAATAATAATATTTCTTAATCATTTAATTTAGCCTCAAGATGAGTTTTAATTTAGTTTAAAATCAGTTAATCATAATCTCAATCGTACATAAATTGTTTGATTGTTATTATTATCATGATTTAATGTCTAAACTGTTGTTTGTCCCAATGATTACAATTGAAATTAATTTTAATGGTTTGTAATGATTGTTTCAATTATTGATATTTAATTATAATCATTATTTCAAGACAACACTTTAGGATTCAGGTGATTTAAAATGATTTAATTAATAAATTATTGGCAATCAAGAATAATAAATGCCAACTAAATGATTGTTTGTAATTAAAAAGCAATGAAAAAGTATCAATAACATTTAATTAACGCAATTAAATTTAATTCCCGATTTTCCAGCGATCATTTCAAGCGTAAAAATTTAAATTAAACATTGAAAACAAGTTTCAAACAATTTAAATGAATCAAATCTAAATCAAAGAACAATCAACAATTAACAGAATTGAAAGGAAAATGAATATGTATGTATATCGATTTCAATAAGACTATAATGATTATCATCTTAGATCATGAACAATTTTAATCAATAACAATTAAGACAATACTTTATCTCATGTGAGTTAAGTATAATCATGATTCATGTTGAAATCGTAAATTAATCATTAACATTTGAGTGTATTCATGAGTCTGTTAATTAACCAGAATGAAAATTAACAAAAGTCACAATTGAATCCGTTTCTTAAATCAACAGTGATTAAACTGATAACAATAGAAACTTTTTTCTGTATATTGTTACATGATTAACATTCATCTCATTTAGATACAATGTAATACAAAATAATGAAAAAAAAACTCCCAAGACAATTAAGGTTATATAACATTTTTTTTGGCAACGAAACTAATCAACTCAAGTTTAACTTTTCCAGTTTATTAACGTTGATTGTCAATCTAATTGTTCTGACAATCAATTGATTAACAATCAAGACAAGAAAAGTTAATAAGAAAACATAGATTATGTTATTTAAGAATAAAAAAGGAGAAATGGATTAGTTAATTGTTGTCGTAATCAAATGGATTATCATGAGAGTTAAATACATACTGTATACTTAATATAATAGATACATAATGGGAATTGATAAGAAAATTTAATTTAATTTAATTAAACGTCATAATTGTTGATTATGACGTTTAATCAGGTGAGGAAAAAGGTTTCATTGATTAAATTTGTTGTTCTTTCACAATTAAATCAGCGAATCTTGTGTTTGCATACATTATGATTAACTAATTTCTTCGTTTGCAGAATTTTTCCAATTAATTATTTCTCTTACTGTTAATGAAAATTAACTTAATTCCTATTCAGTAGTATTCACATAGGAACGAGATGAAGAGAAAAGATTCCAACAAATTTACATAGGTGATAAAAGAAAACAACAAACATGAAAAATTGAAACAATGTAACAAATAATTGAAAACAATTCTTTTGGGTATTACTCTGAACAATGAATAATCGTTGTATCAGATAACATGGTAAAAGAATAAAAATTTTCCACAGAACGATATAAGTATTGATACATTGTTCGTTCTTGATATAGTTTCTTCCTAGTTTCATCTTGGAGCTCAATTTTTTTTCTTCTGTTTTTATTTCGTTTGCTAAGGTTCGTTGGCGTAGTGATAAAAATCATTAGAATGAAACATTTGTTGGATTATTTTTTTCTATTCGTTTTTTTCTTCTTCTTTTCTTTTTGTTTCTATCATGAAGGTTCAGGTGAGAGTGAGTAGATGAGATTATTAAGAGAGAAAATTTTATTATCCTTTCTCTCAATGGGAGCACAAGAAGGAAAAGAAAAAGAAGAGAGAAAAGTTCTGTCTGATCAAATTTCGTTCTTAGCTTGTTTTTTCCATTCCACTAGACGATAAATTGAGAGAGGGAGAGAACGAGTGAGTGAGTGAGTGAGAAAGAGAAAGAAACAAGAGAAAAGTCTGTTAATAGAATGAATCAAGACGCATGTTCGACGTTATTTCTTTATCATGTTTTCTCCATTATTTCGAATAATCGATAGAACTTGACAGACTACGCAAGACTTACAACTCGTGACCTTAGAACGATGTTGGTAACTATTTCACATTCTGAGTTCTCCCATCTTTCTACTTTTCTTTCTTTTTCTCTATGTCGTCTTCTCAATCATCATCATCATCATCTTTTTTTACAATGTATATACATTGTATATACATTGTATAATCTACCTTTGGAAAATCATGGCGCAATACTTATCTTCCCGTCTCTTCATTACTCTGTCTTCTCTCTGTCTTCAATTTTTTATTTCTCTCTTTCTCTCTCTCTCTCTCTCTCTCTTTATCAATCGTTTTCTATCATAACCTCTTCCAAAAGTTTTATCAACTTCCGGGTATGCTTTTTGCTTCATCAATTTATGTAACTTTTTTTCTTCTCTTCTTAGTCTCCTAATCATCATATTCGTCCTCATCCACTATTTTTTCTCTCTCTCTCTCAATCTCTTTCTCTCTGATCAGCTACCTGTCACTCTAAATGCTCAGTATTAACTCCCAGGAAAGTGGATTAGCATTTAGAATTTTTTTTTCGTTCTTTTTTCTTTCTGTTCACTTCGTTCACTTTGGAGCGAGAAAAATCCAGACATTTCAACTCTACAAGAACAAAGTTGAATGATATTATTCAGTATATACGATAAACATGGAGGGGGAAGATTATTATTATTTTTTTTCTGATACAAAGTAACAATTTTATCAAATGTTGTATTTGTAATGAGAAGGTGAAAGAGTTGAAGTGAATTAATTCAATACTCTCATGATATTGATCATGTTTACTGATCAATTAAATTAAATATATGAAAGTGAATGAGAGAGAGAGAGAGAGAAACAAAAATTGTAACATTAAATGTAATACAAAATAATTATAAATTGTATTAACTTGTTGATTGTAAATGATTGACAATTTATACAAAGAGAAAGCAATCAATGATTAGAAACAGATAATTAGTATTAATAATTTTGTTTCAATTATTATCTGGATTAAACAAGACTAACGCTCTCAACGATTTTATACAAACCATTTAACTACATTCATCTTGAGATTAAGATAATTTTGAATATCATTTGTATCAAGCAAACAGAGGAAACTATTAAAACTGATTAATCTCTAAGAAGAAAAAAAAATAACAATCTTACCTTTTGGACTGGAAGATAATCTCCTCGATTATTGGATGAGGTAAGAAAAGGGTTTCCATTGATCCATTGGAATCCCTTTCCAAAAAAAAGGGTTAATATTAAATCCACAAAATGAAAGTTGTCATTAACTGGTTTTCTTTTTTTCTCTCTCTTCTCTCTTCTAAATCACAAGGAGTCTTAAATTTCAACTTTTCTATTTAAAACAAAAAAGAAAAAAATAAAATAAAGAAAGAAAAGAATATAAAATGTTCTCCAATTGTCCGATGATGGCGGAGAAGAAAAAATGTTTTACTTTTCAACGTGGAACTTGATCACTGAGAGAAATTAATTGTTTAAACAATTTAATTAGAATAATAACAATTAATTGATAGAAAATAAAAGAAAAGAAAAAAGAAAACAAAATAAATGGTTAATAATAAAAAGTGAAGATGAAACGATTGAGAGAAAGAGTTAAAATGAGAGAAGAAGAGAAAGAGAAAAATTCTCTTAGCTACAAAAGAACGAAAATCTGTAAGCCGAGAAAAAGAAAAGAACAAAATCGGCTCACCTTTTTTCTTTTCTCTTCTTCTTCTTATAACAACAAGAGAATAAAAATTCACAAGCCGAACTTTTTTTTCCTCTTTCTGGCTGATAAACTTTATCTCTTGAGATCAAATTTTTCCAATACTTTTGTTAACCATTTAGGAGCAGAGTTCCATCTGTGTTCAGCTTAACCAACTAAATAGAAACGAAATTTGGTCATGTGAGCCGTCGATAGATGGAGTTAGTTTATAGAGAAAAGTTCAGCTGGTGATTCGCTTATAGAGTTGATCAGTTGATGAACATTTTGTTTGGTTTTGGATTATTTTTTATTTTTCTTTTCAATTAATTGTTGATCTTCTAATTGTTTCTCATTTTTAATTAAATAATTGTCTCTCTCAATGTTGGTGTTAAGTAAGAACGTGTAACCCAACAAAGTTAAAAGTCAAAAACGGTGTTGGAAAATTTTTCTTGTTTCGTTTTTATTGGAAAAAATTATTGATACAATTTCTCATTTTCTTTTTGTTTAATATTTATTTATATTTGTATTTATATTCTTTTTATATTATTATTATTATATTTGTAGAGATAATTTTGATTCTGTGATTTGAAAAAAAAGAGTAAGTTAATGACAACTTCATCTGAGGATATTTTACTCCTTGTAAATGGAGTTCGGCATAAGAAAAATGATGGAACCCTTTACCTGATGGAAGCTCGGATCGCCTGGATGCCCAATGGTAAAGACAGTTTCACTATTAGTCATAAATATGCTGATATTAAGATGCAGAAAATTTCACCGGAAGGTAAAGCTAAAATACAATTACAGCTTGTTCTTCATTCTGGTGATACAACAACTTACCATTTTGTCAGCCCTGAAGGTGTTGATAAACAATTAAGTGATCGTGACATGGTTAAACAATTATTACAACAATTGTTACCCAAATTTAAAAAGAAAATTTCCAAAGAATTAGAGGAGAAAAATCGTATTCTTCAAGAGGATCCAGATCTGTTTAATTTATATAAAGATTTGGTTGTTAGCGGTGTTATCACTAGTGATGAATTTTGGACCCAATTGGCACCAATTAGATGTCCACAGTTGATTAAGACTCTCAATTTGGCACCATCATCAACACCAGAGAAATCTAATCTATTGGTCAACCTTCATTCCTCCAATGAACAAACTGTGGGTATTTCTGCTGCCTTTCTATCCGATATTAAACAACCTGATGGTTGTAATGGTTACAAGTACAATATAACTACCGATATAATTGAAGCAATATTTCGTACATATCCAGCGGTTAAAAAGAAACACTTTGAAAATGTTCCCCATAAAATAACTGAGGCTGAATTTTGGATAAGATTCTTTCAAAGTCATTATTTCCATCGTGATAGAGTTTTAACCGCTTCATCTAGCTCATCTAAAGGTGATCTTTTCGCTGATTGTGCTAAATCAGATGAAATTGATATTAAAAAAGCGGCTATTAAAGGTGTTAAAGATCCTTTTGTTGATATTACATATTTTGATGATATTGATTATATCAACAAGACAAGTGATCCCAAAGATGACGATAAATCCAACAAAAAGGATCGAGATCTATCCTCGTCAAATTTACTTAATGCCAATCAAGCGTTGATCAAAAGATTTAATTTACATTCAATTATGATTTTAGAAGCAAGTAAACGTGACTCAACGGGTAAAATAAGTGCCACCGCTAATGGTCATTCATCACCAGCTACCTCATCGTCATCATCATCAACAACAACAACAACAAATCCTCATGTTAATGGTGTTGTCAAAGGAAAAAATAAAGACAATTCAAAGGAAAAGGAAGGTAGTGATTTAATCAACAATTTAGGTAAAAATATCTCTGATGAGGAGCACGAGGAAATTGGAAGGATTAAAAGGCAACGATTAAAAGAGAAAACTGAATTAGAAGATCTTGACTCTGAATCTTTATTAGATTCATCAACATGGTTAACAAAAGAATCAAGATCGTTAAAAATAAATGATAAGCGACGTTACCTTGAAGGACCAACACCATTAGCCCATGATTCAAGTCATAATCATCATTATAACAATTTAACTCTCTTTCAATCGGTTTATCATCAAGATGAAATTTTAAGCAATTGGCGTTTATCCTTAAACGGTTCACTCTCCTCACCGGCCGCTATAACCGCTCTAAGTGCATTATCTCCCGGAGGATCGTACTTTAAAAACACCCACATCGTTAGCCTTAAAGACGTAATACCAGATGAGATCCAAAGTCAATTGAAGCAACTTTACTTCTCATGTAATGAGTTACTTAGACACTTTTGGGCCTGTTTTCCGGTCACAAATCCGCTGATAGAGGAAAAATTATGCCAAATGAAGGCGACATTAGAAAGATTCCAATTTACCAAAGTTCAACCTTTTCATGAAAAATTAGTGAAAGACCATTACGATTCAGAGGTATGCAAAATTGACCCAACAAAACAATCAACCGGACATTTAATTAATTGCCCAGTCCTCTCTTTCTCTGTCTCTATTTTCATATTCTGTTTCAAGTCTTTCACGAAATAATTTCAATCTATTCTTTGCATTGGTGATTATATTATCATGCTAACAAAATATATTTCAAGTTGAGATAAGATTCAATCTAATTGTGGATTTAAATTTTATCATGGATTAATCCAGCATTTGAATCTATTAATAATCTAATATATTTATTATATTTAAAAAAAAATCTTAACAAGATCATATTCTAGTCATCAAATCAGCAAACAATTAACTCAATTTACTAATTGATTTTTTGTTCTCATGATTAATCAGATTTATTTTTCTTAATCCATTTCAATTGAAAATTAAAAAAAAATGGACTCTTTTTGATCAATTATTTCTTACTAATTGCTCATAAGTTTGTCTAATTAACTCACTCCACACGATTCCTATTTCTTATTCATTTATCTTGATCAATAGTTTTCAATTTAAATGATTGTAATCAATCAATTCTAATAAAAATTAACACCAAGTAATTTAAATTAGAATATCTAATTCAAGGTATTCTTCCGATTGTATTTGTATTATTTGTATTACAATCAAATTGAATTAGTTTACGATTCTAAGACAAAAGAAAATGTATTTTCCACTTGATTATCAATATTGATTTCTTAATTGTAACAATTAATTTCTTTCTCTTTCTCTTTCAGCTCACAACTCACCTATTAAGTCAACTGCAGTTAGCATATAACAAATTCAATTCATGGCAACTAAAAAAGTCAGCGTCAATGCGTAAATAAGCCAAGAATCAGCAATTGATTGTAATTATCATTGAAAAAAGAAAACCCAATCAACTAAATCAACTCAATGATGGACTCATCTCATTTATACAAAAATAATATTTGTGTATTTTTCATTGACAATAATAAAAGAAAAGCATAAAGTGCATTTAATTTGTTATTCTAACCAAAAGAAAAAAACAATTAGCAGAAAATTCAACAATCAGCAAATCAATCAATTGATTTACCACAATTAATTCTAATAGTTAACAAATTGCTGCTTATTTTCACCATTCTTCTTAAGGAAAAGCTTATGTTAAAGACCAGCAAACTAACTGTTAATCTAAAGATTAAATCACCATCACGAATAACAATTCAATCGTCACCTTGGTTACCTGATTTTTTGGTAAACAACAAACAACAATTTAAAATGTTCATTATTTTCTAAATCAATTTTTCCAACTATTGGAAAACTATTCTAATTGTGTTTAAAAAAAATATAATTGTTCCTCTCCAATTGTTATCACGATGTCTTCACGTTTTAAAATCGTTATAACTGGAATCAGTTCAGATAATGTTCAATCTTGTACCATGTTTGCCAATCGTCTTGCTGGTCTTGACCATCGAGTAGTTTCACTTGACCGAAACTTGAGTCCTCTAAGGATTCTTGAAATCGCCTGTGGAAATAATAACGAAGTTGAACTTTGGAATATTGAGAAAGCATCACTTCCAGTTCCGGATATTTGCTTATTCGAGGCTCATGGTTTGGTTCTAATCGGCTCCGAGATTCCAAAGCAATTATTTCAACGGAGTAAATATATGCCTGGTAGGCCTGATTTTCCGATCCTATGGTTGACCACCGATAAATCAAATCGTCCACCAAGTCAACTCAATTCCAATTTCAACATTTACCAGGCTTCATTCACTTCACCAACAGATGAATCAATGGCTAACGAATTTAACAATTGGCTCTCAAAGATTGTGAATGGATCAAATCGTGGATCACCTTGATTACAATCTTTCATTTTAAATCATTATAATCGTTTTACTTTAAATTACAATGTTCACAATTAGATAAATCATTAATTGAAAATGTGTAACATTTCATAATAAAATGGATTGAAATAAAAATCTTATATAATATTAAAAAGACAATAAGTTCAACAGGGTAAAAATAATTTCACTTGTTAATTGTGATAATTTAGAGTCTTGAATAATATCCACCGGCGACAACGAAACTTTCACCAGTTACATAAGATGAATCGTCGGAACATAGGAAGTAAACAAGCGAGGCAACTTCTTCCGGTTTACCGATTCTGTTGGATGAAATAGAAAAAATTAAATTTCTAGTTGGAACTGATTAATAAACTAATCAATTAGAAATCGTTGTAATATGTGTTTACCTGTGCATTGGAATCATTCGGTTCATCTCCTCACTGATACTCTCATTCTCCCAAAGAGCTCGACTGAATTTAGTCTTAATTATTCCAGGACAAATACAATTGACTCTTATTTTGCTCGGGGCAGTTTCGATTGCAACGGCTTTGGTTAGTCCAAGAAGAGCAGTTTTACTGACGGAATAAGCGCCGATCATTGGTAATGGTTGATATCCACCAATGGATGAAATGTAAATTACTGAACCACCTCTGTCGGAAAGATTGGAGAGAAACGAATATTAATAAATTAGAATCGAAAAGCAAAAATATCGATTAATTAAATTGTTACATACCCGCGTTTCTCCATGTGAGGTACAACGGCTTTGGTCAAAAGAAACGCTGATTTAACATTTACTTCAAATATCTAGATGAAAATTGTGATCAGATGATAACTAGAAATTTATTTAATTGGTAGTGGAAAGGAAACATACCTTATCCCAAGCTCCTTCGCCTGTCTAAATGTGGAGAGATTGATTGGTGAGGAAAGATTCATTTAATTAGCCGTCAGAATTACTTGATTACTTATTGTCACTTTACCTCGAGAATTGGCATCATAACTGGATTAATAGCGGCATTAGAAACAAAATAATCTATTCCTCCTTTGTTTGTGACCGTCTAAATTTAAAGAAAGAAATGGAATATTAATTCAATCGAAAATCAAATACAAGATATAATCTTCAGTTGAAGAATTAATTAAGTTGTTACTTACAAATTCTATCAAATTTTTTCGATCTTCTTCTTTAGAAACATGACAAACAGTTCCAAGGACATCAAGTCCCTCACTTTTCAATTCTTCAACGGCTTTATCAACATTTTCCTTTCTTCGACTACTAATAATAACCGAAGCACCTTCTTGTCCAAGTCTACGACTTATTTCTAAACCAATTCTAACAAAGAAAAACAAAGATAAGTAAAAAATTCTAGTCTAAGGCCCGTATTCACCAACCGTAATTAAATTAGAGTCTAGGTTTAAATCAGCTGATCACAGCTTTTGTGTTTCACCAACTATGACCAACTCTTGATCTCGGATCAGATTTAAGTTTAGGTCAATTTAATTAGAGGATCAAAAAATCTTGTTTCACCAACCGACATCAATTGATCTTAACTCAAATTGTTGTTTCACCAACCGAAATCATCTTCAATTGATCTCGGAAGTCTTGATCAAAATTTAAACTTGGTAATTACCACGATTAACTTTTGATTATGACTTTTTTTCCTCATTTTTTCCATTCTTGCTCATTTTTTTTGAATTTTTTTTACATAAATTGATTAATATCGTTATGTCCTATTATTTTTCTACAATTTTCGCTAGCGTAAAAAAGATTTTTTTTCTTAAAAAAATATTAAACAAAGATATTAGGAAAACTTGATCAGTGTAATCATATAACTTGTTAATTGTTTAGAAATCAATCTTAATTTCAAGTCTTTCCATAAACAATTAATTAATTTATCTCCTTCAAACTTACCGCTTTTGTCTAAAGAAAAATATGTTTTTATTGTTTTGACCGTTGTTTTGTTTGATGATCGGTTGGTTAAAAAAATCAATTAAAATTAGGGTAAAATGAAAAATAGGGAAAAGACCTTTAGGGACAATTTCTAATTAAATTAATATTCAATTGATTTGACTTCAACTTGATTTGAACCCAAAATCAAAGAATCGGGAATCAACTAATCGAGCTTGGTGAAACAACTTTTTAGTCTAAACTCGGAATCGGTCTGATCTCAGGATTAGATGATCACTGCTTTTAATTACGGTTGGTGAATATGGGCCTAAATTAAAATGTACCAACAAAACTAATACTCACCCATCAGAAGAAGCAGTTACTATGGCCACTTTTCCTTTCAATTTATCACTTTTAATGGAAGACATTAGCCTTCTAGAAGGCTGTAATTGAGAAACTAATCGAGAAAATCTAAGGAACATCATGAAAGAAAAAAGAATAACAATTTAAATGAATTCAGTCAATTATGAACATAAAAACTCACAATTAAATCACTAAAGATTTTAATCTCTTTAATGAAGACTCTTCATTAAGTTCACTTAAACTCTGTTTACTTTCGAGTTCTAATTTCTATCAACAGATGTCGCTACAAATTCTTCGATATTCAAATCGATACATTGAACATTCCCAAGCAATTTTCGAGTAAAACTCAAGATCAAGTGTCCGTCGAATCACTTTTGGTGAAATAATGTGGCTCAAGGTTATTGCATCAGAAGTAGATCCAAAGTGAAATTATCAGTGGAAAAGCCCATAGAACTGGCCATGTCGAACTGAATTATGGTCACAAATATCTGAGGATTCTATCGAGTTTGAACAATTCCAATTCAACAAAACCAAAACCAGTCAATGAGCACTTCTGATACTGAGCTTGATTAGCTCCAATTATTGATAATCTTCGTTGAGATGAGACTTAATTTCTCATTGAATGGTATGTACACACTTTTAACTGTTGCTTATTGTTTACAATTGTTGAGGTTAAACTACAATTAATGTAATTAACTTTTTTTGACCTATTGGGATTGCCTTGTAATTCCGTGTTTACTGTAACACCCTGAATTTCCGTTTTACTGACCATTCCATCAACAATTTAATGGTCAATCGTGTTAAATGTTTACAATTACCACTCATCGTTTCTAATTGTAACAATAATGAGACTTTTCCTTCAATTTAAACGATCTCCAGCTATTTCTAATTGTATTGGTTAAAAGACCACAATTGGTCCATCTTCAAGTTCACCATGATAATCACGAAAACAATTATCCATTTGATTGTTTTAATCAGTTGATTCTTTAACTAACTCTCACCGGGATATAATGTTTAATAGTTGCCATTATTTGTCAATTCCATCACAATTTCCAAAGAAAAACAATCAACAAGTCATCAAAAAATCAAAAAATCAACCCAATCATCTAATTCAGCTAATGAAACAATGAGATCCAATTAAAAGTGAACAATTAACTGTTTTATTACAACAATTAAGATTGTAAAAGTAATAGAAAAGGAAAAGTTTTCACAAATCGAACGATCAATTTTCTGATTAAACGATAATATTAATTATCTAATAACCCGAACCTAATTTTCGTCTATGATTTAAATTAATTTCTACATCCCTGATTAAAGTAGTTAATTTACTCTAAATTGTATTACATCAACAATTTAGATTCTTCCTTAATCAAGAGTAAACCTAAAAATCAATTCTTAAATTTAGTTATCACAAAAAGTTTAGTTAAAAAAGTGAACATTTTCCTTTAAGAAAAGTGAAAGAAAAACAATTTAAATTTAATTCTTATTTTGGTAAATTAGTTAATCATAATTAGAACTCTTTTTTATAATTAATCAAGGTCAAAGGTATAATAATCAACATTTAATCAAGTTAATCGCCTCCAGGGTAAGGAAAAGGTTTACCAACAAGTAGGAAAATTGTGATCAGCTGAAAGTATTGACTTCTTAATCTGGATTAGTTAATTAACTAAAATTAAAAAATTTCGTAAACATAAATAATAACATCCTGATGATTTTAATCACAATTTACTTAATTAAGACTTAATCAATTTTTTAATAAATAAAATTGGGGAAAACAAACTTTGATTGTTTACAAATTGTTTGTGATTTAGTTGAGTAATTAAAGTAATTGATTACTCGGAATTAGCAATTACAATTAGATTACAAAAAGTGTAGAGGAAAATAAATACAATTTGATTGAATTAATTATTAGATGAAAAGTATCCCAACAATTGACCATTAACATAATCAATGCGATCGTTTTTTGTTTGTTAACCTTTAATTATATGAGTTTAATTTTCCTTGTCAATTGTAATTAACGATTACGATTTGATTTAATTGTTGAGATGATTGTGACCTGTAGGCAGTTTAGTGGTTAGTTTTTTATTTTTAAACAGTTTCTCTTGATTGTTTTCAGTTTAATTGAGTTGATTTACTGAATCATTTACACTTAAATTAGTCAAGTTGGTATTTAATTTAATTATTGGCCAATTCCCTTTGATGATCAAGAAATTAATGCTCATTCAAGGTAATTAGGCCTCTGATTAACTCAAAACAAATGAAATAATTATTTCAACAATTAGCTCCTTTGTGGAGTAATCAATTTCTACCATTTAAAATGGTAAACAATCAACAACAATTAATAATAAAAAGTATTAATAGTAAACAAAGAGAGACGAAAATACTGGACAAGGTTAATTAAATTTAGAAAAGAGTTAAAAAAGAGGAAGATCAAACCAATCGACTGGACAACAATTAACAACAATATTCGAATAACGGTAAATTGAACTTTCGTCGATTTTTTGACCAATGGAGTAAATGGTCATCTCTTTTTCGTTGAATTGGTCATTTCAGTGGGAAGAAAAGGAAAAGGTTTGATCTTGAATTTAATGATCATCATGACAGAAATGAAAGGAAAGTAATTAACATTTTCATCTTGAACCGGTTTCCATTAGTTTACAGAACAGGGTGAAGACGAATTTCTGTTTTTTCTTCTTTCATCATCATGAACAAAAAAGAGTGAGAGTTAATTCATGAGAGAGAAAGAGAGAGGGAGAGAGAGATACAGTGAGCCAGAATTACATGAATTCACTTTAATCAGCTTGATAAACAAAATTTCATTTGTATTAATTTCCCAAAGTTGATTAGCTGAATTTCACTTAATTTCGAGTCCCAAGTTATTGTTTTCTCTCACTAGATTGTTTATTGTTTGATTGTTTAATTGTGTTGATGTTTTCTCTTTTAATCAGTTAATTGTTTATCGTGAATTAATTTTAACAAATAAAAAATGGCTTCTTTTGATGATCAACAAACTCAAATTATCATTAAAAATCTTCAGAAACAATTTGATCAACATTATCAATCTAACTCAGGTAAGACATTGAATCAATTAACCAACAATTTTCATCTAAATTAACCAATTGCAAAAAATTAAACTCAACTGTAATCAAAATCTATTCCATGATAAACAATTTTCATGATAAAATCTTTGATTTAGATTAATTAATATTGCGAAATTTACAATCAATAATCAATTTGATTATCACTGTTGATGAGAATTGATTTCAAGTTGAACAAAATAAGACAATTAAAACATTGATTGTGTTGATTATTTTTCTTCTTCATGGTCACAATTAAATTGACAGACACAAATTGACACTTAATCACTTCTTTATCCATAGATGATTGTAGTTACAGGGATTACCAAAGGGTAATGACGGATCCACATTATGTTTACCGGTTTTATCGAGCTCGTCATTGTAACACCGAAGCGGCCTTGCAAATGATAATATCGACAATGAAATGGCGGAAATGTACAATTAAACTTGACCAATATCGCGATTACAGTTTTCCAATTGAATTTTACAAGGTATCGGCCGTATTTCCATATGAATCAGATAAATCGGGCTACCCAACGATTTACATTCGAGTCTCGCAACATCGAAAAGTAATTGAACTTGAAGAATATACCAAGGCCTTTTTCGTCCATGTTTTCGATAAAGTTGATCGACATTGTGGTGAGAAAGGATATTCACTAATCTTTGATTTAACATCAGCTTCTTATCGTAATCTTGATTGGGATTATCTTAAATTCATGATCAACTTTGGTGCCAATTATTGTCCCGCTGGTGCTAAATATATTCTAGTGCTAAATGTACCCTGGGCATTGAATACATTTAGAAAAATGGTTTTCTCATTTCTAAATGATGATTATTTCAAGTTAATCAAGTTCGTTAATGGTAATCAGATTTATGATTACATCGAACCTGAAAATGTCCCTTATTACCTTGGTGGTCAGTGTAAACGTAATTATTGCTCAATTCCAAGTGATTCAGTTCCAATTGAACAATTAGTTGAAAGATATGGTTACACTCATGAGGATTATCAAAGGATTATCCCAGTTTATCAGGATGCTCTGGATCAAGCTGATCAATTCCTATCATCAGTTGATTGGTATGAACCAGTTGACTATTTTGATACACCTGAGAAAGATGATCTAGAAGGAAAGAAAGAGAATAAAATTAATTACAACAACAATCAACAAGAATTGATATCATCAAACAATTTAGATTATAATAGGAACACAATTAACTTGATTGACCCTTCAATCGTGTTCAATGTTAAACCAATGGACAATATTGTCTTTCGATATGATTTGACTAAAGCAACTTACTCTGGGTCAGTTGAAATTGAGAATAGCTTGACCAGAGCAATTATATTTAAAATACAATCAAATTATCCTAATGATTATCAGGTAACACCAAGACATGGGATAATTAATGGTAAGGAAAGTGTCAAGATTATGATTAACATGATTAACTCTGATTGGAAACATTGGTCAAAAATGACGATGACCAATCGACCGGTAAAATTTAGGATACTCATTAATTACTCATCATCTTCATTATCAACCTATCATTGTAATTATACTGAACAATCAACAATCAATCTAAATGAATTTAATCAACTATGGACACAAACTGAGACCAATGAAGTTTATTCAACTATTAGGACAATCGAAGTGGTCAAAGAGTTTCCCGTTAAAATGGGCCGAAGGGACAAATATCGTCAACCCTCAGTTAATCTATTTAGACACAAATTACCCGAATGGAAGGACAATTTATCAATCGATGATAAATTACGTTGTCTCAATGAGAACACTAATTCGTTGGAGATTAATCAGAAAAGATTAACGTTAATCTTGTACCTTATGGGATTTGCTTACCTTTCCCTTTTCTGTTACTTCCTTATGATCAATTCAACAACAATCACATCAAATTGATTAAACTACAAACAGTTAATTGTATAAATAAATTTGTAAATTACTCTTTTAAAATGAGCAAAATTAAAGGTATCATAATAAGTTAATTGTTGCTGTTAATTGTTGTTACTTATTCTGTAATCATTACGAATCTGGTTTTCCTAATTTTTAACAACAAATTGAGATGATTTTTTTTTCTTAAGGAAAAAACAATTTACAATTAGAGGTCAAGGTGATTAAGAAATTATTAAATTGTTAATTGTTGATTGTCTGATTATCCTTTTATTTACCAGAATTCAATTGCATGTGAATATTTAATTGCAACAATTTAAATTGAGATACTAAATTGTTATCAAAACTAAATTTGCATCTCGAATTTGTTATTATTAAAGTTAATCACTTTCTTTAAACTTTGATTAACCATTTTAATAGTTTTTTTTTATTTGACTTGGGATAAGTTTAACAATTTACTAATTAAACTTATTTAATCATTTAATTTATAATTTCATCAACAATTTGATTGTGACAAATTAAGACAACAACAAGCAATCAAATTGAGACAAAATGTTTTTCATAAAATCAGGAACCAATTGATTGTTAATTTTGATGTTTATGATTAAGGAAAAAGTGATTTTCTTAACTTAATTGTTCAGACAATCAACTAATTATCAAGGTAAGAAAGACAATTAACTTTGAAAGGATTAATTGTTCATCTAAAAGGTAAGAAGAAAACAATAAACACAATTAATGTTTTCTTTTCACAGGTAATAAGTTAATTGTTCAGTTGATGGAAAATTAAGTTTAATTGTAATTAAAGAGTAAATTCTTTAATCGAAAAATTAAAATAATCTACTAATTAGACTAAAAGAACATCTAATTTGGCGCTTCGAGCGCTTTCGATCAGCTGATTACTTTTTTCTCTCTCTTTGTGTTTACAATTTTCTCCAATAAAATGAGTTGAAATCTCTTTCTACCTTTTCTATTTTTCTAATGTTTAATATTTTGTTAATTCTTCAATTTTTCTCTCTCTCTCTGTCATTGTGATTTATCATCATTCTAATTTAAATTGATTCCAATTGAATCCGAATGTATTTATGTTCAGTTGATCATCTAACCTTTAAGCTAATCTTTTACTCATCTTAACCTTTGGTGAGAAGATTTTATTTTTTTTTATTGAAGTTGATTCAACTCACATTTCTAAAAGTAATCCCACCAATCATGGACCCAGAATTTACTGGTGATTCCAACAGTCACCTACAACAACACCCACCATTACCACAATCTTCAACAGCTTCTGTAATTCCACCGTTACCAGAATCAAGATCATCATCAATGGTAACAATTAGGCAGCAACACTCACAATTACCAAGAGATTACCTACTTAACCAATTCACCCTGAATGTGAAAAAATATTGGGCTGAAAAACTGGAATCAATGATTGAAAATTATCTCATTCTCTTTGAATCAAACAATGATCCACAGATTATATTCATCATCAGCTCTCTTTTAGCATCATGGTTTCATGAGATTCCACAGACAAATGATTTAAGACGTAATCGGATTAACTATGTTTTCAATCAACTTTTACTTCGGACCGATGGTAAAACGGCTAATATTGATATCTTTAATCGTTGGTTAATCTACAAGCTAATGGCGAATATGAATATCAAATTAGATGCAGTTAAATGGTCAACAATTAATTTACAAATCACCTTGAGGCAAGAGGAAATCGGTCGTGAGCTGTTAAATTTGATTGAATCTTTAAACTCCATTGATGGCGATCAGTTGACAATATTGATCAGAAATATTGTCAAGGTTAACCCTTGGTTTGGTGAATTAACTGTCAACAATTTAAAATGTTACCCATTTTTAAAAATCCGTACAAATATTGACCCGGAAGGTCATTTTAATCGTAAAGATGCCAATAATTTTGGACCAGTTATTGTTCAATGTTTAGAGGAATCAATTGACCGATCTGATTATGGTTCTGTATACAAGTTGATCAATATAATTCCCGATGATCAATTAGATTGTAATGAAATTTTCACCTGCATGAAAAGGTTAATCCATTCAATATTAACCCATGATTACGAGATACTGGATTTAGATCAATTCTATGCGGCAATAATTGGCCGTTCAACCAATAAAATGGCCAAATTGGTATCAAAAATTGATTGGAGATTACGGAAACAAGGTGATCTTTTCTCAACGAAAACCGATACAAGGATTAATTCATCAACGTACGATGAATCAACATCATCACCTCCATTCATCGCAATTAACCAAGAAATGAGTAAATTATCTTCATCTTCATTAAAAGAGGTTCCTCTTTCCAAACCAATCGAAACTGAAGTATCTCCAATATATCATAATAAGAAAATGTCCCGTTTAAGTAATACAAGCGATTCAACAAATAGAAGTATCAATGAATCACCTGAGGAAAAGATGATTAATATTATTCTAGATCATGAAACTAAAGAATGGAACGTCGATAATTGTTTCCTATTGGCGACAATTGATCGGAAACATTTTCTCCTGGAAACTTTATCAGCACCATTATCCCATTTCCATGTTATTCCCGATGAACTTAAACTGTTATTCCTTCTGGAAATGTTATACAATTTACCGAATACCCTTTTAAGCGATGAAGGTCAACGAAATGAATCAACAAAAGTTAACAAAGCTTTCACTGAATTACGAGAATTGGTCAATTCATTTTGGTTTAACAGTCTAATTGAATCAAAGCCGATTCTTTCCTTTGTTAAAGCAAAACTTGAATGGATATTTAAATGTATCGATTGGTGCCTTAAAATTGATTCTAATCTTAAATATTATCGTAAACTTTACACCATTTTTAAGATGCTCTCTCAAGGAGCATCTCCATTGGCGGTTTTCAATAAATTCAAGATTCTCAATGCTGCCTTGGATTCTGGTGATAACGATGTTAATCAAGAGGTTCTCAATTTACTCTCTGAAAGTGGCCATCAATCGGAACTTATGATCTGGTATGGTTATCTTGCCGTTAAATTGACCTGTTTATGGGTTTTCAATAATAATACAACGGAAGAGGAAACAATTCCTGATCCCAATCAAATATCAAGTCTGATTAACAAAATATTACCCTTGTCTTTCCGTGTTGAGGTTCTTGAGAATTTATTTTCTCTCCTATTTCTTACCCAAAGAGATATCGTTGAATCATCTGATTCAAATGAATATTTTCATGATATTCCAAATGAATCTGATTTTACTCAGACAAAATCAGATATCGGTTTAAATACAACAACAACGTCTACTTTTAATGAGATTGCATCACATTTAACCGCAACTTCAGCTGAATCAAGTTCATTACATGCAGATTTATCATCTTCCTCATCATCATCATGTAAACCACCATCAACTTTTGTCTTTCCCAACGATTTAATTCCAGATTTTCTCAATGTTCTCAAAGATTGTGGGCTTAAAGCTCAAGCCTCTCTATTTGCTTTTAAACGTCGCCTCGGGGATACAAAGAATGAGGTTTCAGAGAAAGGTTTAGATGATGTTTTCGTTGAATCTTCGATAATTGGTTACGATGAATGTAAAACTCGACTTCGATCCTTAATGGATTATATCAACGATTCACAATGGAGATACTCTGTCATCGAACCAGCAATTGTCGAGCAACGTTTATCATCATCTATGCAAGGTAAAAACACAAATAATAACACCGTCGATTATAATAATACTAATTCTGAGAAAAATCCAGGAAATCGAGATGAGGGTAAAGATGATTATGATGCATCTATTTCCGTAAATAAAGGTGACGACAATGAAGAGAAACTTTTATTGGAAAACAATGAGCCTGTTGAAGGACTTCGAGATCTATTATCTGGTAATTCAAATCGAGAGGATAACAAGAAGGACGAAATTTTCTCATCTCTAATTCCCTGTATGTTGGCATCTCCAGATCAACTTCTTCGCTATTGTTTAATTGAGAATCAAATTGATCGAGCTAAACAAGTATACAAACTGTTCAAGGAATCATTGATTAACACCGAAGAAGCTTATGAATTGTTGATTATCGAGAAAACCGCTGAACTTTCATCTAGATGTCGAAAAATTGTCAAGACCTATTTGAAACATCCATCGGCTTCCAAATCTCCTGAAGCAACATCACCACGGACAATGAAAGTTACTCAGATGCAGAAACTTTTGTCTGAATTCATGTCCATCATGGACTTTAATACCAATGGAAAAGTTGACACGAATCGTTTGTTGATAGACTATTCGATATGTTCATCGTCATCACTGGAATTGTCCGAGATTATTTTGGAGAATTGTTTTCAGGCGAAAAATTTGGACGCCAAAAGTGACCCTGAAGAAAAATGGATGAATTTATCAATCGAACAACATCTTTACTCCTTCTATTCAAAGACTCGGAATCTCTTCGATCAACCAATTTGGCGACGTTATTTTCTCTTTATCCCGATGCTAATCTGTTCAATGCTCCAAAAGTTCTGATGGCTGAAAAGGGTCGAATAAGTTCAATCAAGCGATATCTAAATGATCTTCGATCTCTACTCATCTCTGATCCAATTGATCCAACAACTCTCTCTTCACCTGTATTAGATTCCAGGCCATTGACTATTCAATATCAGAAGTTAATCTCATGTTTTCCAAGTGGAAAATTCAATTACCTGAAAGCTTTATTCTATCATGTTCGTAAAGTGTCGGAAGCTTTGAATGAAGCTCGAAAACGAAGTGAAAATCTCGCACGAGTTCCGGTCTCCGCTGATAAAAGTCCAATGAATCCGTTAACAAAACAAGGAAATTACTTTTCAGTTTTATACAAAAGCCCTTCGGCTATTTTATGTTCACTTGTTATCAAATATGGTATTTCACCCAAGGTTGTTGACGATTTGGCTCGAGATATGAAAGTTGACCTATTGGGAACTTTATGTTCAGTTACCTGTCCTCAAATACCGACGACAACTAAAAACGATGATTCCTCTTGTGATTTCACTTTGATTGACAGTTTTCATCCTGCTCTTTGTGAACTTATTCAATGTTATCTAACTGGATCACATTCTATGGAGAATTCAGTTCTAATTCAGAATCATTTTGATGATGAAAGAACAACTTTAGAAGAAGGTGAAACTTCAATCATCAAGAATCAAGAATTAATTAACTATTTTCGCCATAAAAGTTGGATTCTTGTCAGTTTATTGAAACTTCTGGGATTAATCAGCATGGAAAATGGTAATTTCCAGGATAAAGAGATCACTTCTCCGTCCAACTCATCATCATCTTCCTCAGCTTATTCATCATCTATACTTTGCTCATCTGATCAAATTTTAAATTCTCAATCACCTTTACAAAAATGGATTTCCATGGTAAAGACAACCATTGGTACCAATTCTCGTGAAGATCCAATCTCTCTGACAGCTTTAGCCCTTCACCCTCGAATACCCGTTCATAATTCACTGGTTATGAGAGCATTGGAAAAGTGTGCAATTAATCATGATTATATTCAAATTCACCGAATGCTCCAATTACTTGACCTACGAAACGCTAACTCTTCATTAGAAGCCCTTTGGACAGCATTACTACTCAAATTGACCAAAGAAACAAATGATGTTAAATATGCTCTACAAATGAGCTGTACCCGAACCATGAGAGATCTTGTCGTTGATCTGATCTTTAATTCAACCTCATATTCTGATACCAATAGTGCTGAACGTGCTCTCAAATCAGCAATTTCTCGTGCTGAAATTCAATCAGAATCACATCTTGTCTTGGACAGTCTTCGATCAGCATTGGATACGGTTAACATTTACGCTAAAATTGCCACACTTTCAGGTCTTAAATCATGGAAAGACGCTTATAACAATCTATCAGAGGTCGATATTTTAACCATTTTAAAGTCCAAGAAGTGCTACTCATTAACGGCAGCCTGGAATGATACCATGAGAAAAAACAAACAATCGGCTGCATTTAGCAACATTTTCCCGTCATCATCGTCCTTGTCATCAGCAACTGCGACACCAAGCACAATGTCAACACCAACACCATCAAATATAACATCGGTCGTCGATGCTGAGCTTGATTTTGAGGTTGAAAGTTTACGTTACGAGTTATTGTTACTCGCTTTCTGTGAGAAATCATCTAAATCGTCACAAGTTACCCCACCATCGTCATTACCCCCATCACATCCGATTGAGAATAGAGCACCAATGCACAGACCATCATTTTCATCAATTAAATCACCGATCAAACGATTTAAATCATCAATCCATTCACTTGGAACAATAATCTCAGCAATTGACGGACTAGGATTGGATTCGGTTAAATTGATTGAGAAAATTTTACCCGCTGTAGATAATTGGGAATCTAAGGAAACACTAGTCAAACATTTACTGGCCGATACTTTAATTAGACATAAACCAGATAAAGTTGAACATTATAACAATTATCTACTTGGAATTAGTTTAATCAAAACAATTCGACCTGAGATGAGAATCCATTATGAACAGTTGACAACTAAACCTTTTCTAATTGTTGAACAAATGTTTATGAATCTTGAATATGAAGCAATTGAGAAAGTTATTAGAAGCCAAAAGTTGATTAAATGTGATCATTTGATTGAGATTTATGCTCGTAAAGCAGTTGAGATTGAAATTGAATCTGCTGATTCTGTTACCGGATCAGAAACAACGTTAATCTCTTCATCAATATTAACCGAATCAAATACAACTAATCTCAATGTGACATCGTTTTCATCCTCATCATCGCCCTTCAAGATGCCCGTAAATGTGCCGTCTAAAGAGCAATGGATTCCCGATTACAAGGTTAACATTTGTATGCTTTGTAAGATGGAAAAGTTTTCAATGTTCAATCGTAAACATCATTGTCGAAGATGTGGTCGAGTTGTTTGTGGAATATGCTCTCAAAAGTTCTTACTCATCCCCGAAATCTCAACTCGACAACCAGTTCGTGTTTGCGATGATTGTAATTCACAAACTCGATTAGAATCAACATCCTCAACACCATCGAATCGTAAAACATCAACATCATCTTCAACCTCTTCTAATGGAGGTGAACCAACCGTTGAATGGATTTTATCATTAAATGAACATGAGAATGAAACGATTCGTGATGAATTTTACTACGAATCAGCTCCATCAAGTTCATTGTGTTTATCTCTTCTTAAACTACACTCAGACAAGAAACAATGTGCCAAAGTGATCATAGAACAACTCAGTCGACCTTTATTCGAGATATTATCTTATAATCGAGTTGATTATGGTCTAATCATTGATTTGATTAAATCTCTTCTTCTTTCGGCAAAAGTATTGATTAACGATGAAGAATCAAAGTTAATCATTGACATTGATTTTCTATTAAGTCGAGTTGATATTGTTAAAATGTTGGTCGAAGGTAATTGTCCCCATCGAGATCTAATTGGTTATGTGATATCTAAAGACGATGCCTCATATCGTTTACAAGAAAAACTAATCGAAATGGAGCGTTTTGACCTTGCTTATCACGTTGCGACGAAATACGGACGGGTACTGAAAGAAATATGGAAAACATGGGCCATGGTTTGCCTTCGACACTGTCAATTTACCGAAGCACGGAAAAAGTTTAAATCATGTTTCGGATTTAAATCGACCAATAATACAAGTGACATAAATAGTAAACTTTTACAGGAGATATTTGATGTATTTGATACAATTAAAGAGAAAGTCAATCAATTGTCACTTCGAGAAAGATGTAAAGCAATTAAAAGTGGACAAATTGTTTCGATTGGTCGACAAACTCGAATACCCAATCCAGATGAAGGTCATTTACCACAAATACTGATTGAAGAAGGACTTTACTACCTCGAAAATTATGGTTCTAAAGAGGATGAGCTACGTTTCTATGTACGATTTGGTTTACTACGAAACGCTGTTCTATTAATACTTTCAGAAACGAATCAGAGTGTTTTCAGTAATCTTTTTGTGACCAAATTATTATTACCCTGTACCCAAACGGGTTCGTTTAAAAAACTATTGGCAACATTTAACTCGATCGATCCAACGTTAACCCGATCATGGAAATACTGGATTTACGCTTGTAAATATTTATCAACAAACAATTTCTATCATATACTTCATGGAGTTCAGGTTTTCATGGGAGATTATATTAGAGCTGCAATGACCCAGATTAATTTCTTTGTTTTTCCAAAGGTAACTGATTACTCTCAATTAATTGGTAGATTGGAACATTTAACTTTGGCCAAGCAACATTGTCAAGATTTTCTGGTCAACAAAGGTCAAGTGAATAAGGGTTGCCTTTCATTTTCTAGTCAAGAGGTTACCTCACAAATCAAAGTGATTAACCTTCAAATCGAGATAACTAATAAATTGTTTGCAAAGAAAACCAAACTGCCGATTGCTTTGGTTGATATTTCAGAGGAAAAAGAGACAACTTATCTTAAAGAGATACGAAAATCTAATCGATCCTCACCAACAACATCATCGGCAACAATTAGCAATGGATCAAACAATCAATTAACTGTTCCCACTTTACTTGAAGATAATATTGTAGCGAAAACACAATTAGCTGTTCTGGTTCTACTCGAATTAGGATCAACCATAAGTGAAGGCTTAGAAATCGCCCAGCAAATAATCAAGGTACGAAAACGATTATTTTTTATATATCAAGACAATTAACTTTTACTAATCGATTTTCTTTGTTTTTTTCTAATTCATTAATCAGGGTCATGGTTTGGATGCTGGTCATGTTTACCGATTAGCGGGCAAAGTTCTGGCTCAAAGTAATAAAGTAAATTTGGTCCAATTGATTAACCAGTTAACTGATTGTATTCGTTTGTCTCATGAACCCTCGGAAAGTGTTGCTCTTTGTGATGATCTACTGGTTACAGCGGTTCGACACATCGCTGAACCTCAATTGGCCGATCAGCTGATTAAAATGATGTCCAATGATCTGATTAAAATCAACGCTTACATTTTAACAGATAAATTAAAATCCGCTTACTTATTAGCGGTTCGTCTTCATCGAGTTGATGATGTCCGTCGTATCCATGATGCCTCAATACGAACCAAACAAGACAATTTAACCAAAATTTGCCAATTGTGGTTGGATAAAAATTCATAATTTAAAAAATCAATTGTCAATCATTAAATCAGATCAAATCAAATCTAATTATCATCGCTCATCCAATAATGTTTACCATCATCTTTACCTATGTCAAAATATTTAAATACCCCAATTAGATTATCGTTAATCATATTTTTCCAACATTGATGATTAATTTAATTGTTGAGATTATTATTTTATATTTATAATACATGAGAGAGAATTAATTTTTTCTTTATCAATCTGAAACCCTTGTCATACAATTGCCATTATCTGTTAATTATTATTAATAACAATTAATCACATTCGATATTGTAAATCAAATTAAATGAGGAAAAAAAAATGCTATTCTTTCAATCAAGTGAAACTAATTGTTAATTCTCGTTGATTAATTTTCTTTGGGATTTTCGTTTTAATTTAAAAGTAAAACAATTAAGATACCAAATGATTTACCGTTTTAAAGGAAAATCAAATCAAATCAAACAATCAAATTAAAAGAGATACAATTTCAAGTAGTTAATGTTATATTATTTTCAACAGTTTTCTGTTGATTAAAAGTAGTAAAATTAATTGTTCTGAGAAATGGTTTCGCTACGATGGGCGTAATTGTCAACTGGTTTAATTTTGTTTTTCTCCATTAATAGTTAATTGTTAATTAATGAGGGCGATGATAATGAAGATGAAGATGATAATGATAATGATGGTGAGGATGATAAGGGAAAGGGGATAAAATTGTAATTAAAAAGTGATAATTAATTTAACCTTTGGCTAGAAAAGGGTTTAGGATTTTTGAGCATCAAAATAGATTAACGGTTAATCCGAATTTGATTAAATTGCTAATAATTAGTTGATTGTTGTTGGTTTGGTTAATTACGATTGTCTAGAAAGGTGTTAATCGAAAATTTCTCTTCCTTTGTCCAGTATAATCGTCAAATGGATACATGGAAGATAAACCGAAAGGTAATTTAGGTTCGAAGAGTGATGATGAGAATGATGGATAACCAGAGGATAAACTTGAAGATAAACTTGATGGAAGACCGGAAGATAGACCAGGAGATAAACTGGACGATAGACTTGGTGAGAGGCCGGAGGTCAAGCCAGAGGTTAAACCGGAAAATGGTGATGATAGACCAGGGAATGACCCAGGGAATCCTCCCCCAAGAGGAGGGTATTGTTGACCATAAATACTTGGTATTCCTTGGGATTCACTTGGTTGTAACAATCGAGTCCAATCAGAGACTAAATTAGATCAATGAAATTATTTATTAGCGTCAACATTTAATATCTTAATCATAATCTTAATTGGTGTTTCAATGAAACTGATTGTTAACTGATTCCTTTTATTGTACCGTCCTTGCTCAATATTGACACAATTAAGTTTATCATTGTTTGCATGATGATCATACAAATTGATTGTAAAGTTTTCTTGTTGTTTATGATTAGTTTTTAATTGTCATTGAAAAAATAGTTTACCTGGTGAGTTGAATAAACCTTTGGGCATTAAAGGTGAAGGTGATGACATTGGAAATCCAAATGGTTGATTAGGTTGAGTGGACATTGGCGAGAAAGGGTTTGGAGGTGCGACCATGACTGGATTCATGTGAGAGGCTGAAGAACTGAACTGCATTTGGTCATAAGGTGAAGATTGAAGTCCAGACCCTCCGGGGTAAAAGGACGAAGGTGGAAACGATGACCTGGGCCTGAGAAAACGAGCCAAGGAGGCAAGAGCGAGAACCGAAGTTAATAGTTGACAGTCAATACTAACGATGGAAAATGTTAGTATGTTGATAATATTAATTGCGAAAAATGTAATTAACTTCATTATCTCAATTGACCAGTGGGCACTTGGACACAATAATAAACCACAGACACTCAAATTCACTTTGATTAACAATCAGATTGAACGGAAATCAAAGATTAGGAAGTGACCACAAATGTTCAAATGATTATTGGAAAGATGATTTAGATTAACGGTGAATTTATTGTTGTACCTTAATCGTTAGAATTAAAAATGATTATGATTCATGTAAGAATGAAGAAAGAGAGAGAGAGAGAGAGAGAGAAGGTAAAAGGGAGTGAAAATCATCTTGATTCTAAGAATGGACTAGTTAACTAACGGTCATCCTTTTTTTATGATTAAAGTAACAATTAAAACTACTCTGGTTACTAATTATTGTAGAACAAGATTAAGTGAGAGTTAATCTATTTCATCTTGATGATGACCATTAACTGAATCAACCGAATGAGAAATTAGATTGTTAGTGTGACAACATAGTTTTTGCTCCACTTGATTGTTGAAAATTAACGAATCACAATTTAAAGGATTACGAGGGTGAGAAGGTCCAGTTAAATGACCTATGGATGAGCTGGTAATCAGGTTTAATGATCTCATGTTCATCTTAATTTATTCATGTTTTTGTCTAAAAAGAAGATGATTCAGATCAAGTCCATTCTTAATCTTCCCTTGACCAGTAAACAATTTCATCTTCAAGTTAATTTGTTTTCCTCTCATCAACTGACCTTCTTTTCTTGATTGACCCTTTCCCGCTCCTTAAACAATAACAAAACGATTTAATTGTCAACTCAATTAAAATCTTAAAATAGTAAACCGACTAAACTAAGCATTAATTGTTAAGAGAATTAGCTAATTGTTTATATTTTTGATTCTTTTTAAGCAACAATCAATAGAATTATTTTTCTGCGTTTATGATTAATCACGAATGTTTTTTTTTTGCTTCTCAATTGAGACAAAGTTAATTCTTGTTTGTTGATCAGTTTCTTTCTGGATTAATTAATTTTTAAATGAGATTAATTATTTCAGACAAATTTTTTAGATAAATATGCTTAAAATTGTATTAATATCACATATCACAAAAAGAGCTCTGGCACATTGATTTTTAGTTGATACAAAGTTAAATTTTCGTAGAGAAAGAAAATTTTTGTAATTAACCCTCGAGAAATTAAAGTAAATTATTTGGAATCCCAGTGAGTACAAGTTTTTTTGAGCAATTAAGAATAAAAAATTGTCCATTGGTAAAGGACCAAATCTAATGTAAAAAACTACAACAATTTTACTTGTAAAAGGCCAAATTTTGAGTCTTTTTGTTAAATCACTGGCGATTCAATTGACCTCAATCATGTTGAGAAGGGAACCACTTCGGAAAGTTTTACTTTTCAGGTCAACTCCAGTTGGTCGGATGGATAACATTTTGGCGATTTTAGTCCAGTTGTAAAATTGTGAGATCACCTCGTATCCATAACTTTTAACGTAAAATTTAAGGCCAGGAGTCTTGAAACCATTGAAATTGGAGGCAGCACAAATAGTGTAAGCGCCCATATCGGGAAAAACGATCCATTCACCTACTTGCATTTCGGGAAAGTGAAAATCTTTCTTGACGCAATCCATACTATCACAAGTTGGTCCCCAAATGGTTGATTGTAAATATGGTCGTTGCATGATTGATAAATCTTGCTCATTGTTATCATTTGAAGAGCAATGATAATCGAGGGTTGTTGGTGATACAACATAGTGATCAAAGATGGTACAGTTGAATGATCCATAAACACCATCGTTAATATAGTACATGGCATTAGGAGATCCATCTGGATTGGTGATAACTTTTTTAGCGATAATGTTACAGGCTAAGGTGAAAGCTGATGCAACGTAATAACGACCCGGTTCAGCGATGATGTTAAGTTCTTGGTCATCCGGGAAATAGAGATCTAAGTTGGTGTTGATCACTTTTGCCATCTCCTCAAAAGTGACTGAAGAATCAGGTGATCCAGGAAAACCTCCACCAATGTCCAAAAGGTTCATCTGGAAACCTAATCCAATGGCGACATCAAAAACGTAGCGAGAGTTTTGAAGAGCAAATTTGTAAGCTTCAGCACTGGTACAACCACTGCCAACATGGAAACTGACTCCTGTCACATTAAGGCCTAACTTCTTGGCCAAAGATAGTAAAATTGTGACGTCATCCAGTTCAGCACCATATTTTGTACCTAGAACACAAACAGCGTGCTCGTCAGGAACTCGGATCCGTAAGACAAGTTGAGCGTCAGGCATATATCGAGCCACCTTATATAGCTCTTCAGTGTTATCAAAGGTCATCAATTTGACACCAAATTTACCAGCATATTCAATGTGGGATTTAGGTTTGCAGGGATTAGCGAAAATAATGTCCTTAGGCTGGGCACCCAATGAAATCAATTCTTGAATTTCGTTCTATTTGAAGAAAAAAGAAAAAAAGAAAAAGAGAGAAATATTAGTTGGATTCTTTCTGGTTCTTTGAAAAGAAAACCCAAGAAAAGTGGAATAGTATTGGATCAATGGGTGAAAGATAAACTAAATAAAATGGTGGAAAACATTTTTAAGATAACACTTCACCCCAAAACTAAACTGGAAAATTGCAGTTGGCTCGAAGTTTGTTGATTGGGTCGATTTCCGTTGAGCCGATAAACAATCTATCGCTAGTAAACCGATACTAAACCAGGTTAATAACAAGAATTTAGATAATTCGAAGCCAGAAAGATCAATTAAGCTCAGGCCTTAATAGTAGCGAATCACCAAGATAGATGATGTTGCGTTTTCCATCAATGAACAAAAAGAAGGCCTCCAAAATTTTCTCAAATTCCAAACTATTCATTGCGAGAGATAGAGTAACCAATTACAGCTAAACTGTGCAGGAATCGAGATGTCTCGTCAATAATATTAGATCAAACCGATTAAGTTTGATCTTCTAATTTGATTGCGGAAACTTACTTTGCTGGCGCAATCGAAGCCGAGTCCCATACCCAACAGGATTTCAAGGATAGCTCGACTACTATTGCATTTAACAGCGTAATAAGGTCGCACTCGAGGTAAGTTTTGAATCCAATTACGATGTTTGATAAGAATGTCATCAATATCGACAACATAAAAGGCATCCTCCTGGCCTGGGACTTGGGTGGACTGGCTGATGTATTCTTGAACGGTTGGCGAACAATCATCAAGAGCAACGTAACAATCAATATTTTCAATATTACTCATTTTCGGTTCTTTTTTTTCTTTTGTTTAAATCAAACAGGAAACCAAAATCACTTAATAACGAAAAAGTAAATATTAAATCAAAGTGAATTGAATGGAGATGGATGGATCCGAGAGTAGAGATAAGACTCTTGATCAGATTGTCTCTTAAAATATTCCCTTGATTGGATGACTTGGAAACCAAGGAAACCAAAGTTCAAGAAGCCCAGGAGCCAGAGGATTAACCCTGTATAAAGAAAAGAGAGTAGAAAAGAAAACAAAGATTAAAATTAAATGTTAATTTAGAAAGAAACAAGATAAACAGCTTGTAGAAAAAGTGACCAGAAATAACCGGTTCAGTCTGGATTTTGTTGCTAAGCAATCGAATCTCAAAAATCAATCTTAGATGCAAATGTTTCAATTTAAATATAGAATTAGAAAAATTAGAAAAAAATTAAACGAACAACATTGACCTAATACAAGAGAAAACATCCTTGAGAGATGAGAGGCAAACATAAGAGAGAAAAAAAAATTCAGAGAAATTCAAACTATCAGAAGGTTAAATATGATATCGATGAAGCACGAGATATGAACATGATACCAGGGAGATTAGAAATCAATTAACTAGAGAAATTTAATTAGATACACAGAAACAATTACGTCAACGAGTTGTTACTAAACAGGAATCAATAGAGCAACAAGAGTACCAAAAGTCGATCGAGATAAAAAAACACAGAAAGAGAACAAAAAAAAAGAACCAACTGAAAATATCACTTTGAGAGTCTCTCTTTTCAACCCAAATCAACAGGTAAGAGAAAGAAAAAAATTGCAATAGTTTACCTCGTTTACTTAGAGAGAATCAACCACACAGAGGACTTGTTGTTGGATCAAATTAATACACAATTTAAAATAGAAAATTAAAATAAGATGAATGTTGTAAAGTAGAAAATGGTTATAGAGAAAAAGAGAAGAAAAAAATCAAGATGGAGAAAAGAGAAAAAAACAGGAAAAGGTAAGAGAGAAGAAAAAAAATGCGAACGGGAAATGAGAGAAAAAGAAGCGGTGAAAATAAAACTAAAGGTCTTTTGACGAAAATTTCACAACGGGTTAACCCGTTGTGAGCTAATTCTTGGTTAATACACAAATTAAAACAAAAAGAACTAAATTAATAGTAATTAAATTGATCGAATCGTTAATTGTTGTCACTCCACCAGAATCACCAAGGATAATGAGAAAGTCAAACCAACAACAGTGAGAGTAGTTGAAACAACCAACAGAGGGACAGAAAATTAGACAGTAAATTAGACAGAGAAAAAAAAGAAAGAGAAAAAATTGTCAAGACAGAGAGATGACAATTAATTAATCACATTGATTACAAATCTTACAATCAATAATTTACTAGAGGGTAAAAGAGTTACTATGATAACAATTAGAAATAAATATCAAGTGACTTTGGAGGAAAATCCTATCATGATTAGTTAATCATCATTACGAATTCAAATAATAACATTTAATTAATTGTCTCGTTCAATTTTTATTACTCGTTAATTGTCATTAAGAAGGACAAAAAACTAATCATTAACCTTTTGCTAATTCTAATTACAATTGATAATTGCAAGAAAATTACAATTTATCAATGAATTACTAATATAATTATACGATTAAGTTAATTGTTAGATGAGAAAAGTAAACAATTATTATTATTTTTTCACAATTAAATTGTTACAATTGTAATTGTGACGTGAATTGTATAAGATTTACAATCAATTAATTACTATACTGATTAGTTTGACTTTTTCTTTAATTCTTTCTATTATTCCAATTAGTGTTGGTTAATTTGATTATCCACTTGTTGGACAATCAATGTTATTAATGGACCTTAATTGAAAGGTAACAATTAAGGTTGTAGACAGAAAATTGTATAAAACAATTAAGTAAACATGTCAATAAACTTGGTTAGGGGACAATTAATTAATTGCCAGTGCAAGTGATTTAATTAGAAAGAGTCTGACAAAAACGTGACAATACAAATACAAAGTCTTCATTGATTAATTATTATCAAATCAATGGAAGTGATTTAATTACAATCATAATCATTTGGAGAAGTGTGAGTTTCATATCAATTTGGTTAATTATCGGTTAAAACAATTGGTCTTTTTCTCGAGTATCTATTTCCCCTCGACAATCAATTAGATTAAATATCGAACCTTGATCCATGTTCTTTAATTTCTAATACACACATTAAACATCAACAATTAACTTTAATTGCTTCAAATTATAAGAGAGAAGGTGAAAAAAATTAATAAATCATTCACCAGTGTCTAGTTTCATAGCAACCATTAGATATTAGAGTAAAACTGTAAACTAAATTGTCGAGACTAATTGCTAATTATTGAAGATGATTAACTTTTTCATTATTATTTTTACATCTAAATCAATCAATCAACCAATCAAAATGTAAGCACATAACTAGATTCAATTAGCTAATTAACAACAATAGATTGGGAAACAGTATTTACTTTAACCAGGGAAAAATTAATCACGAGAAATTAATCTTCAAGTCTCCTAATCGACTTTGATTGTTTACAATTTAGTTTTTGATTGTTAACTCTCATGATGAGAAATCAAACCCATTCAATTGTTTATAATTGTCATTAGGATAATCTATTAATTGTAAACAAGGCTAGTAATTAGAGCAATTAACCTTCAGTTAAACTAAATTGTTTATTGAATATTTGGTTAATGAGGACAGTTTTTATTTTCAACACACAACAAACTGAATCAACTAATTGTAATTTGATAATAATAGTAAATCAATCATATTGAATAATCAATAATATTGGACAATAACAATCAAGTTAATTGTATTAATTTACTCACCTTAAGTTTAACTTAAAGGTTAAATTGATTGGAGACTTCAGCAGGGAAGGAACAATTAAACTTCAATCAAGAAAGAAGACAATTAGTATTGACAATTAAAATGAAACGAATGTTTTTCGCATATGAAAATTAATTCAATTAAAAGGTAAATTGTGAAAGTTAATTGTGGTTATTGGTGTTAGAAATCAGGTAACTCTCAACAAGTGCTGCTGACTGTTGTTGATTGTTGATCGTAAACTGGTTACAATTAACTTTGCGAGCACAATTTAAATAGATTCACTTTTTTCTGGTCACAAGGATGTTAATTGTATCAACCGTCTTACTTTTTTAATCACTGTCCTAATCGTATTAAAATGATCACTAGATAATCAGAGTAAATAATTAATTTCAACACTAAAAGTACTCACTTAGTATTACAAGATACAAGATCCGCTTGCAATTAAGTTGATCGTTTTAATCAACCAATTTAAGATAATCTCAATTAGAATCAATTTCAATCTTTATTTTGGTTCTTTACACTTACAATTTGCTTCTTATTGTTTTCTTTTTGTTAAATATCACCATAAGAATATCAGTTTTCCCCTCTCGGTGTATTTACCTCAATGGTGGGAAATTATCGTTCTCATGATTTCGAGTCATTTCAAGAATAAGAATTGGGAACTTCAGGAAATATTGTTTTCTCTTCAAGTGATCTATTCATCTAATAAATTGTTAATCTTATATTTTATTAACCATTTTCCCCCTTTTTCAATTAGTCATCTTATCGGCGGCCATTTTGTTATGAAGGAAAAAAAGTATAATATCATTATTATTATTATTGTACAGATCAAGTGAAAGTCACATTCTAGGAAATGATATCGACTTAATAATAAGATGATTCTGATGGTGATTACGTTGATTTACCGTTAATTGCGGTGAAAATTAACCGTTCTAATTTCCCCGATGTATAAAAGAAACTCTTAATTTTCCTATTAATTAATTACAATCCAGTTGATGCTGGTTTCATCTGAGTGTATTTCTTAATCATCCCCATCGAAATCAACTAAACTGAGTGCTAACTGATTGTTTCGTTATAAATTATGGCCTCGAAAAAGATCAACTCATCTTTGAGAATTTTATTATCATTTCGATTGATCTGTTATCGTAGTTTATTGTGGATCGAGCGATTGGAATCTAGTTTTTTTATAATATTAATTTTTAGAGAAAATTGTGAATAATGAATTGAGTTTTAATCGATAATAAAATCATTGAATACAGAGGAATTGGTTTCGAAGTTGAATTGAAATTTTCTATGTTACTGGTTTGTTCCAAGCATCTTCCCAAGTTTTGTCGTTTTCGACTTTCTTACCTTTTTTCTGGACCACAATCGATCTGTCCACTTTGATTCCTTCGTTTTCCTTGGCATATTTGCCGAATGCTGAATTGTGCAAAGGTTTTCCACGTTTATCGAAATGCAATTCAACTACTGCATTCATTAAATCAGTGAAATATGATACTGGAATTGTGGTTGATAAAATATTGAGAAGAAACCAGTTACCGGGTGAGTTGAGTAATCGACGGTACGATTTTGCGGCAAAAGATGAACTCGTATAAGATAACATGAAATATCGAAGAGGTGGAAGTGCCAGGGTTAGACCTCGATAGAATAGAATCAAAATGATGAAGATGAACATGAAATGATAAAGGAACCATTGACATAGATAAACTTTCTCATGTAATGAATTGGCAGCGAGAAAACAAAGTCCATCGTAAGAATTGATGTCACCAGTGAGACCAAAGAATTGTAATGTACACTTGACCATTCGAGGAAGATCAACTGTAATGGATCATAGGAATTGGAGTAACTTGAATCACCCACAGTCGATCGAAACTCTGGATTACTTGGTGAGGTCGAAGGTGAAGAAAGAAACAAAGAAGTGATACTTTTCATACTGTAGCTTGAGTCCAACCAAATGACACCAAGTTTAAGGAAATTTCCATTGAGGAATCGGTCAGTTGCCCAAATTTGGAAAATGAGATGGACAAGACAAATTATTTCCATGAGAATAACGTTATAATAAAAGGTGACATTGGAAAATAAAAGATCGGCCACCGATTGAACGAGATTCATCTGATCGGCTTTTTTATATTCGTATAGATTTTTCTTGTCACCTTTCAGTTTGCCAACCAGATCGATGACCCGTTGGTCCAAGAGACGATCCCAGATCCATTTAAGACTGAAAAACATGACAGACTAAGGAAAGGGATAATTTCAAATTAGAAGATGTCGGGTTAGGATTAGGGAGATAATCTTACCTGGATAAGTATAGAAAGATAAACCCATTGGTAGTGACGTTGGAAAAATTTAGATCCATTCTCAGTTTGAACACTCGAAGTGACCCCGATGTAGGGTGAGACTGAAGCACTGGAATCGGGTATTATTGTGTACCCACCGTCGATCCAACAGTAATCGGTATACTTTTTAGAATTTATTTTCGGTGGATCATTGAAGGTACAGTGAATCTCTTCTCCGAAAATATCCTTACAGGTAAGAAGAACTGCTTGAAGAACATGAATTTTCGAGAAGAGAGAAAAATTGAAAATAGCAATCAGATTATCGTATGGGTGTTTCTTCATGGAGAAAACCGATTCAATTTTGATCTTCTTGAAATTCTCGATCAGTTTCGGCACATTAGTGGACCGAGTTTTTTCATCAATACCCCAAGACATTTTCGAAGCGTGTTCGTAACAATCAAGGGTAACAACGTGAGCTCGAAATTAACTGAATAAAGAATATGAAACTTCACTGAAACTGTTGAACAATAAAACTAAATTCAAAAGAATCGAAAATATTTTTTCATCTTATTCAACAAAGAGATGAAGAGTAATTAAGATTTAATTTAAAATTGAGAAAACTCTTGCTTAATTAGCAATACATTTCTCATCTTCGAAAATCATTTAATTATCTAGATTAAAATAAATACAAACTGAGCCAAGAATGACTAATATTATTAATTAAATAATTTTCTTTTGTAAGTTGATATTCTTGATTTAATTGCTTCTTATAATTCAATTGTTATTCTGTTTGTTTATTTTGGATTTTTGTTTTTTCTTCAAATTAATTTGATATTTGAAACTATCCAATAAAGTTAATTAATTAGAGTGAAATGTGACCAGGAGATTCAGCTAATAGATAATAGAATAGAGAATCTGAATGACAATATACTAGATAAATCCTCCGATCAACATGACCGCTTTTCTGAATAAATTTTAAGAAATCCATTTCATGAATATGATCTTTGCTGTCTTTTACTGGGCATACGGAACAACCGTTATTTGCACCCTGCGTTAAACAGAGTAATCAAAGCTTTGATTAACCCTCGAACTTCGGGGCTCGAAGTTTTAATATCCCAAGTCATCCGGTTGATACAATTAAAAAACTTAATATTCATCTGATGCTCTTCCCCTTTCATTGTCCTGTACGTCACAATCCATCCATTCTCCTTCTTTCCCCTTTCCTCTTTTCTATTTTGTCCTCTTATTAATCTAATTAACAATTTCATTTGGTTAATTTAACGCCCCTTTTTTTCATTAGTTATTAACTTTTGACCCTGACCGGTTGATTTGGTTGTATTTCTCATTAATTGATTCACTCTGGGCCTTCCTATGTCGATTTTGACTCTTTAATTGAAGACCTAAATTCACAGGTAAAGTCAATTAAACTAGGCATACTTCAGCCGAAGTAACGTCTGAGCGCGTGTATTGAAAGTGTTGCAAAAATTTTCCCTAAATTTCGGGACTAGGCCAATCTCTCTCAAAAATTATACAGCACTGCTCACACTATAGACAAAGCTGTTCTGAAGAAATCAAAGTGATCTGAATTGTCGTTTTTTAGGTCTCGTCCCTAGAAAATTAGGTTTTTTGAAGTAAAGTCTTCGCTTTGCTCAGACAAATAAAAATTATCAGGAGCGAAAAAAGTTAATCTTTCTCCTTAAGAGCAGGAAAATTAGTTCACACCGATCAACCAGGTTGAGCTCAAGTAAATAACAAAAACTGCAGCAAGTCAATGGAGATTTAATTAATCAATTTTCTAGTTGTCTGAGCGTAAGCGAAGACTTTACTTCGAAAATCCAAAATTTGCTGGAACGATAGCGATCGTAATTTTGGTCCAATCTTTACCGAATTTTCAGAAAAGGTTCAGATGATGGTTCTCATCACCTGTATAGTTTTTGGTAAAGATTGGCCCACTCCCGAAAATTAGTAATTTTTCTTCACGCTTCAATTTTTCTTCTGTAAAAAGTTATCTAAAGTAATCGATTTTGTATTAGCGTAACACCAACGTTGCTTTGTAATATTATTTTTTGACTTCATGACCAAGCTTAAAAAATTTCTAGTTTTCAAAAAGTTCTTCAAATGACCTTCAAGTGCGTTCTTTCACGAATAACCTTTATGACTTTGACCTTGAAATATGACAATTGAGTATCACCCAAACTTCCATGGACGAAATATGGACCCTATCGGTGTAGTAGTTTTTGAGAAATCGTGAAAAGAAAACCAACAAAGTAGCTGAATTGCCCTGTAGATATTTGTGAGCTGTAAAAGTCTAAGTTTCTGAGTGCGAATAAAAAGTTGTTCACAAACTTAAATTTCATGCCTGAAAAGTCCACCAATGCTGCGAAAAGATGATCTAAAGTTTCGGCTCTGAACGCAATTTGCTTGAAAACTAACCATCAGATCACTATGAAATTTTTAACAAACGAGTTCTTTCTTACGTCCCTACAAAACTCTTAAGTTCCAATTCATAATTCAGAAGTCCATTTTCTCAACGCATTGACCATTCTTAATATTGACTTGTGTCTCCAACTGGTTGATCTGTGTGAACTAATTTTTTGAACGGAGGTATCAACTGCTCTCTCTCTCTCTCTCTTGCTATTACTCTTATTAACTATGTACAGCCGTGAAAAATGAGTTTCGAATGGTTTTTAATCATTCGCGCAACTTAGCTACTAAAATCATTTGATAATCTTTATCATCAGTGATAAGACTTACAGCCCTAGCAAGGTTCAAATGTAAAGATTTCAAAATGGTGTAAGTCACGTGAATGAAATTTTTTTAATTATTTTTTTTTCATAATCTGATGGTTTAATTGTCTGAGCGAAGCGAAGACTATACATAGAAAAAAAACTCTGCGTTAAACGATAGCGATCGCAATTTTAGTCCGATTTTCCCGAAATTTTCATGATAGGTCCAAATGATGGGTCTGGTCACCTGTATAGTTTTTGGTGATGATTGGCCCACCCCTGAAAATTAGTAATTTCTCTTCACGCTAGATAGCGAAAGTGCCTATCACCATGGCAACGAGGAAAATGCCGCTTCTTTTAAATTTTTTCGTTTCTCTTTCTTTTCTTTTCTTTCTTTTCTTTCTCTTTCTCTCAGTCTCTTTCTTTCAGTCTCTTTCTCTCAGTCTCTTTCTCTCAGTCTCTTTCTCTCAGTTGCTTTCTCGCACGCACTTATCAGTCTCTCTTTTCTGAGTCATAAACGCGCTCAGACGTCACTGCCGCTTGCAGTAAGCCTAGTTAATAATCTTTCTAAAGAGACTATGGACACTTTTGTGTGACCTCAGATAAGTCCACAATGAAAATAATAAAAAAAATCGAAAAAAAAATTTTTGAGAGATTTAACATTGGAGTCTATGGGGAAAAGTTGATTTTTTTCGCTCCCATAGAAAACCCTTGAAGCCAGGATAGGAAATTAGCATGGGCTTAAAAAATTTTTTTTAATGTGTAAAAAGTGGACTTTTTAATTAAGAATTTAGACTTTGTGTATTTGTAGTGCCACTAATGACAAGTCCAAATATATATATTTCTTTCTGATCTGATTAGTAGTTTTCGAGAAAATCCAGTTCGAAGTTAAAACTTCAGGTCAATTTTTCTCAGCAATGACGCGTTTTCAGGTCATGAAGTTTCAAATTTAAGATCAAATTTTGATGTTCTTTTAGCAAATATTTGTCTGAGCGTAATTGTCTGAGCGTAAGCGAAGACTTTACTTCGAAAATCCAAAAATTGCTGGAACGATAGCGATCGTAATTTTGGTCCAATCTTTACCGAATTTTCAGAAAAGGTTCAGATGATGGTTCTCATCACCTGTATAGTTTTTGGTAAAGATTGGCCCACTCCCGAAAATTAGTAATTTTACTTCACGCTAGATAGCGATAGCATCTATCACCATGGTAACGCGATACCGCTAATTACAAATTTTTTTGATTTCCTTTCTTTTTACTCTCTCTTCTTTCTTTTTTAATTCACTCTCTTTCTCTTATTCTCTTATTCTCTTTCTCTCTTTCTCTCAATCTCTTTCTCTCAATCTCTTTCTCTCATTCTCTTTCTCTCATTCTCTTTCTCTCAGTCTCTTTCTTTCTCTTTCTTTCTCTCAGTCTCTTTCTTTTTCTTTCTTTCTCTCAGTCTCTTTTTTTCTTTCTCGCCTTTCCCAGCATACACACGCTCAGACGTTACTGTCGCTGCAGTATGCCTAGTTATTAAAATAACATTAAAGTATTGATACTGGGACTAATCAAGGTTCATTTGTTACAATACAACGGAACTGTGGCCGGAGGCTCTTGGGATAAATTTCTTATAAAAAAATATGCTTTATAAAAAGAGCATCAAAAGTTGTCATTCAATTTAAAATTTCATGATCTGAAAACACGTCGTTGCTGAGAAAAATTGACCTGCAGTTTTAACTTCGAACTCGATTTTCTCGAAAAGTATGGATCAGATCAGAAAGTAACATTACTTGGACAATACATTACATTACTTTACAATATTTGGGTTTCTCATTAGTTGCCTTTCAAATCCACAAAGTCTCAACTCTTAATCAAAAAGTCCACTTTTTACACATTTTCACTATTCACTTTTCATTACTCAATTTCTCTTCTCTTTTCCCATTTATTTATTGAATCGCCGAGGCGTAATGATTTAACATTTTCAACTACAGTTTAAGTGCTGTAGCTCTTCCTAGGAGTTGTTCCTGACAACTTCAGGGAGGGAAATTACAATAGATTTGGTTTACAAATTATTAGGTAAAAACAAAAGAAAATTTACAAATTATATTAATTGACTGTTGGTTAGTTTGATTGTCCAAAGGTCCAATTTGATGATTGTAAATAAGTACCAAGGGTTGAGGTGGAAGTGGAGATGAGGTCTAAATAAGTTTAACTCATTAGGTATGGTACGAAGAAAAGTAGAAAATATTAGAATTTCAATCTTTGAAAATGATTATCGTGATTATAAATGTGAGGTAATTTTTTATGTATTTGTTTAATGTTTGTGTTTGTATTATTGTGTTTAAAGTAAATGTAATCAAAGTACCTATTCAATGAGTTATTTTGAGATAGAAAAGAAAGTTGTATCAAATTACCAACAAAACTTACCAAGAAAACAAAAATGGTTGCAGTTATTACGACACGATAATAGCTCAGTTTTAAAAGTAACAAAAAACAACTAAAGTAATTGTCGTACCATCATAATCTCGGTATCAACTTGATCCGTGTGATGAAATGAACATTAATTACTCAAAATTTTATTTTAAATTCACAGGTAAAGTTAATTAAACTAGGCATACTTCCGCCGAAGTAACGTCTGAGCGCATGTATTGAATCGAGTGTGATTTTGAAATTTAATAAAGAAAAGCAAAGATTTTATTTTTCAATTTCTTCTTCATTCTCTTTCTTT